AGAACTCAACATAAAGTTAGTGTGTAAGTTTGAATTAAGTGTTACTCTTCAAACGCAGGTAATCACTTCTCATGTCATGTAGGGTGTAAGAAAGCCAAGTCTGTAGGAACAGATAAAAGCCTATTTAAACAGAACCACCTTCAACATTCTGGCATATTTCCTCTAAGGAAAGTATGTTTCCCTACTTTAGAAATGAAGCTCAAAAAGCCCAAACAAAATACAAGTAACAGGAAAAAATAGAAAACCAAAACACTGAAAATGTTATATAATCCAGGTTGAAACACCTGTGACTCTGCAAATAGGATGTGATTTCACTAGAAAGACCATCTGGATTCCCTCTGTTCCCTCTCAGTCAACAAGCGAGTTCTGTACCAGCAGCCCCTTCCTACCTCAGTCATTTTGTGCTTGCAGTTGAGGCAAACAGATCCTGTCAACTGCTGATCTTACTGGAGGTAGCAATCTATCTATTGTCTCTGAATAATTTTTCCTCTTAAAGAAACTGTTCTGTCAAAGACAAACTGAAGGCTCAGTTGGGATTACCCAAAAATGAGTATACCGATGCTCTAGTTGCAGAACTTTTTAGCTCATATATTTATCTCCAAGGTGATTTTCAGTCTGGAAGGTGGATAACAAGTCAGTATCTCCCATTTTTAGAAGGCAGTCTAAAATGCCTTCTAAATGCATAAACCTTGCCGGCTGATTTGCTTCTCTCTGAATATCTCTGTGTTTTTGTTGTTCTAGCAAGGATGTGGATACTAAGTCACTGTCAAAACTATGGGGAAACTTGTAGTACCCAAACAATTGACTTGCTAAAAGATGCAAACAAGTTTATCCTCTTCTTCTATGGAAAAGAGACAGAAGAAGTAGCAGAGCTGGGCCCTGGGCTGCTACTTCTGGAGTTCTAGTAAGCTTCAGCTGGCACAGCTGAAGTATAGAAGTGAAGAAACTCAAGAAAGAGACAGCTAGTAACATGCATTCCTTATTCTGCAAGGACCAAACCACCTGTACACTATTAACTCTGTCTCAGCTAGCACTATAATTGTTATTTACTAGCGCCACAATTGAAACTTATAGAAAGAAAATCCAATGCAAAGCAGCAAAACTGATACCTGCATCCCAAACCCAATTCTTCTTTCTCCTTTGAAATGAAGGTACGCTTACCTTCAGAGGGCCTGTAAGGCACTGAGATAAGCAGGGGTCTCTGCCTTACAAACCCTCCTCTCCACTGCCAACCCTTAAATGAGATCTGGTAGATTGGTTGCACCTGAGCTCTCCTCTCCTGGTTGGCCCTGCCTTCCCAGCAGGTGCTCCATCAGTGGTTCAGGCAGTGACTCAGCATTTCCACTACCACTAGATTATTTCAGCCAGTAAGCAGCAAAATGTGTGTGTCTTTAACACATTGGCTTCCAGAACTGAAACACTGGGGGACTTTGAAGAAGCTAGTTATCTATCTCAAATGTACATAGCCTGCTCCGAAAGTAACTTTTCCTGTTTATTGCCATGGGAACTGCAGTGCATACAAAGAGCACAATAGCACTATTTGATAGAGCACATTCTCAGCTACAGAACGCTATCTTTTAACATACTCTCCACCATTAGCTGTGCATTTTCACCAGCAGTGAGCAAGAGCCTGCACGCTAGTCAAAATCTGCACCAGCACGCTCCAGAGCAGCCCTTGGGAGTGTCTGTGCTCACGTGAAGTCGCATGTCAGACTCTACAGCAACCAGAGACAATCAAGACTTGCACAAACATTTTTTTAAGTTCTCCAGTACCATCAGCCACAAACAAGTCTCTTTGATTGACTGGCCCCTCCTTCACAGGAATATTTGCTGCGGACGCTTGTACAGCTGAAACAAAGAAATCAGCAGGAGGTCAGCAGGAAATAAATTGCTGACCACCTCAGGAAAAGAGAAAGCCAGCAGAGCAGAGGGAGCACATGCAGGTTATGTCTTCTGAGGCAGATACAAAAATTAAAAGAAAGTATTTTTGATATTTTAAAGCATGGCATTCTGCTCGTCTTTCACTGCTATTTCTCTTAACCTGAATTAAATACACTTGCAGGGCAGGATTACTTTCAGTGTACTGACGGATTTATCCCAAACACTTTCTCCCTTTTGAACACCATTAACGTTTCCACTAGCAACAACTCACCAGTTGGAAAACAACTCACCAAGTGGAAAAGAATCCAGCCTCTAGGAAAACCAGAGAAGAAAAAACTAACAACGTGTTGACAAAAGCAGAGCTAGTAACTGAACAGATGAAGATTACGCAGAAACATGCTGTTAAAGCACTGAAGCATAGGGATGAATACTTCTGCACTCTTTGCCAATCTTTCCTCCTTGAAAATCATTTTCTGAAATGGATTATTTGGACATTTTGAGGGACATCATGA